TATGCATATATACATACATACATACATACATACATACATACATGGCTGATATAGCGTGTCTATCATTTGTATGTCTATTTCAATTTCGTATTAACTTGATAGTCTGTCTACCTGTACCGCGTGCGCATGCGAGTTTTTGTATATTTGTTGATGCGTGACTGTGTGCAATTCCATGTGTTTCATATTCACGTTATTCTCGTGACTTTGTTATACAGTTAATAAATGTCATGTTGTCACATGTAGCTACAGCACATTTTTTATTGATTTGTAACGAAGGCAACCACTCGTATGGTTCCATTGTACGTTATTTAATTAGGTCCATTGTTAACCGAGAAGCTTGTGTGCAGAAGGCTATGAATCTAGGCTACTTTGCACACAAGTAGGAGACGGGGGGTGCTTGCTTGAGGTTTAAGTTTATCTGTCGGTTATATTCTCTCTGGCACTCAAGTGGTTGTATTATTCATCTCATGCAGAATTGTAAGAACCCGTCGACCCAGGGAGATGAGTATGGCTGTCTCCGATGTCGATGTTTTGGGCACGTACACACCCACTGTCCGGATCTGTACAAGCGTTATCTCAAAACCAACAAGGCTCAGGTAGGCTATTTCAGTGCACGCAGGCAGCATCCACAACACTCCACTCAGCCGCTTCGCACACTCTGGCATATTGCTCGATTATACCAGACAAGCACTGGGTATTGGTGAGCTCTGTTAGATTCGTCAATGGGCAACCACTATCTCATTCGCTACTCACTCACACACACACTCTCTCTCTCACACACGCTCACGCACACACACACACTCTCTCTCACACACACGCTCACGCACACACACACTTTATGGCGCATTCTATAAATCGAATCATTGGGAGTTCAATATGTTCACAGCGTGTGTTTTCTTGGTTATTTGGGGGCGCAAACAGCACTAGCTGAGAATTTGGGCCAGTTTTAGTCCTGCGATGGATATCAGTTCATGTTATTTTGGATCAGAAGTTATGTACTGCGAGTTTGCCCGAGAGTTCAAATCCGGATTATGTCGGGCGTACCGCCACCAAAATCAGTGGTGAAACCATACCACGTGTCGGCTCTAAAACTGATTATGGGCTTCTGCCATCTGAGTATATTTTTCATATGTTCGCGTTTCATTTCTTTTCGAATACACTTGTGGGGGAATAGAGCTTTTGTGTGGTTTGTATATCACGCTTGTACGGATAGCTTTCACGCAGGCCTTGTCCCAGGTACTCACATTGCGGTTAGAATGTACTGAATCTTATCTCACCTCTAATTCTCTCCAGTCTCAGACAGTTGTTAAGATCAACGACGTCGGGACTATCCGAAGGTCATCGTGCAGTTGGTGCGCCGGGGACCATCACACATGTGTATGTTCTTGCGCACTTGTCCATGATCGCTTCCATACAGCTGTATCTGTATATTTACTGGCGTACTTTAAAATAACATAGCCAAGTTCATCTGTGCTTATGCATATGCCCGTCTTTCCTCTATATTAGATAACATTTTGAATGAAACGTCGGTTCAGTTATATACACACAATATGTATATACGATATACACACAATATGTTTATACGCTATTCTGTATCGCCGTACGAATCAACCTGTTTGCCTGATAGAGTAACATGTGTATCGTGAGTATGTATTGTGTATGCTATATGTATATGATTGCAATTGCTTGCATGTTTGATGAATGCGGCCAAATGAAAAGATTCGTTTCGTCCGCAAGTTTGTGAATCTACAGAAGTTGTTGTAGTTTGCTGGAAGCTTTATACGCATTCTGATAGGAAATCTATTCTGAAACGCTGAAGTGTTTTGCATACCGATCGTTCAGTGAATCGAAGTAAGGCTGTACTCGGGCTATTCACACATATCACTCCTTCAAAGTTTCAGAAAGCCACCAAGTTTCTTTGTCTCGGTATTGACAAGTTTGTCTTAAATTCCACAGAAATGTCCCAAGAAACCCAGAAATCTGCGCCTGTCAGCTGTGGAGGTCCAATTCCTAGGTGATAGTGAGGCATTTTTTCACGAGAAAATCCTGAAAAGCTCTGCGCTGGTCAGTGAGTATGAGAAGATACAGAGCGCATCCAGACGCCCGGAGGTGGTCTCACACAAACGATTTGACCAGCGCGAGGAGCGGACTAGCAGAAGCATACGAACACACGAGCGGCCCCCCAGAGATAGCCATAGCCACCACGACCGCAAGCGACGCCGCACAGAACAGAGTGAGCCAGACAGTGCGCAGGAGCGGGATAGAAGGCAGGCACGCCGCGAGGAGAAACGGGACAGGCGGGTGGCAAAGGATATTGAAGCGGCGAAAATAAAGGAGAAGGAAAAGAAGGAGAAGAAAGAAAAGAAGAAGAAAGCAAAAGCAAAGGGTGACGACAGAGACAGAGGATCCGAGAGAGGGGGCCAGAAGGCGGATAAGACACGCGGGGAAGGATACGACAGAAGCCAAACGCACGGGAGTGTGAAGGATAAGAGGAATGCGGGAGTGCAGTCGAAACGGGGTCCACTAATTGGGTCGGATAGATCGCACGCATCGCCGTACCACAGCCGTAACCACAGCCCCACGCCATACCAGAACACTCAAAACTCAAACGTCTTTGTACGCAACGGCCTCACTCTTCCACAGGCAGCTGGCAGTTCACGGCAAAGTATAGGTTACCAGAACCCGAATCAGCACTACCAGAATACATATACACAGCGTGCACCCACTCAGTGGCCGCCCCATCGGTCGTCTATGTTCGAACACGCACCTGCTAATCCTGGAAGAAGAAGCTATAATGGAAATGCCTATGATAACAACAACAGTAGATCAATGTATAGGGGTGGATACAAGCGCTGATACACAGCAGCATCCTCAATAGTAATTAACAAGCAATTGAAGGGCCGTACATTCAATCACGAGACATCTAATATTTCGCTGCCGCTTCAATACCAAAAACGGTGGTACGTATCGAGGTATGAGCTGAACCATGACTCATTCAGCACATGAATAGAGAAAATAAAATTTCTGTTGGCTGCATTAATGGTGAGCTATTCCAGGCTGTTGTGAATGAATGCACGACGAAACTTCGAGCGAGTAGGGACACTGCGTCTAAGCTACTAGATATCGTTAAATAGAGATTGCCTATCCACTTGGTTAAGTCCTACTAGGTTGAGATTACAAATTTTGCCGATGATCACAGTCACGCAAATCACAGCACCACTACAAGGAAGCGTAACATCTAGTGACAACTTTTTGTTTGAACCATGTACATTGTATTTTTTTTAGAGCTTTCAGTCATGGTCTGTATAGTTATTGCTCTCAGTACTCTCCCACAGTGAAGCAACGATACGAATCATGTAAATTCACTACAATTCTTCGTTGTGGTGTGTGTCGATATTCATCTTGCTCCCTTAGCGTTTAATGAGGAGTTTGTACGTTCAGATAGTATCTGGCCGAATCTGTGTACACTTTTCCTTCTCGATGTTTCGACTTTAAACACTTAAAAGTTTTCAATCATCTGGCTCGGTAGCCAACATTTTGCGCTTGTCTCAACGTCACGGATTGCCAGATAATGTGATATTCATGGCAGCTTTCAGCCCTAAAATTATCATGCAAGGTTGCTGATGGAACTCATGAGATGCCCGATAACTTTAGCGACCGTCAAACAAAAGTTACCACTTAAAGTCGTACAGATGTTCAAAACGAGGATGTTGGTGTCTTAATCAACTCTGGCACGAGCTATCGCAATGAAGTTGTATAGGTGAATCGAGTGTATATGCCATAACAAATATGAATATTTCTGTCACGTTTATAAAACACAATGGGTATTCCGGTGTTAGTTAGTGTTCAAATTGATACATAGCTTGATGAGACAGACAGGCTTGTTGTCAGCCATGCGTCTATGAATACTAAATCAGAACGATCTAACTGTGTCCAGGGGTTGTATGAATTATTAGAAACCACACTTTCCATAATCTAGATTGAACTTTGAAGCCCTTTTGCAGTTCGTAAACTTCTGGAATGGCAGACATTATATGTCTGGTTGAAAATGGAATGCAATATAAATGTTTTTTGAAATAGGTCATGATTGCTACGTTCTTTCAACGACTTATGCGACGTATAGGTATATATTAGTCTACTATTTATGTACTGTATATGTACGTTATATTATGCTGTTGATAAAAGATAAGCCTTTCTGTATTCTAAGAAGTGGATGAATTTGAAACCTACACGTCCGGTTCGCATTATAAACTGCTCTAAACTCCAAAGTCTATGACAAGCAGGCAACCAACTGGCAACTGAGCGGCCAATTAGCCAGCGCTGTTCTTGTGGTTATGTAGTGTGGACTGTCTGAGTACATTTGGCAAACGTGAACATACCCTACAATGAAAATAGGAATGCGAAGATTAAGTTTTTTGAAAGTGCCTCTACGAGTGACTCCACCCTCCTCTCGCAATCTTCTGTCGAAATATTATCTTGTGTTAAAAGCAATACGACTTTTGACTCCGTAGTTTAGCGGTTAGCTGTTGTATATTTTTTGCGCAATCATTTATCGCAATTTTATTTCGAAATTTATTGTACCACGTTGGGGACTTGGGGCGCTTCTCGTGTGGGCGTTATTCAGAGACACACTCTACATATCGCGTAGGTCATTGGCGGATCTATTTTATATATGGACTAATAATATATAAAGTGGTTGTGGACTAGAAATGTCAAACTGTTTTTTTGAGTAGAGTTGATGTGAACCTGTCCTCTTGTGTGATGAGTTGATGACTGTTGTGACTCGTGTGAGTTGTGAGTTGTATGTTGTAGTTGTGACTCTGAGAGTCCTGAGAGTTTGTGTCTCTGTGAGTGTTGTCTTTTCAAAGTTTTCTCTACAGCTTTGTTTGTTTTACAAGAACAAATCAATATTGGTTTTTACTTTTTACATACATATTTAGCCTCCTTACCTCCCAAAATAAAATAATCTGTTTAAAAAGAAAAAGGCTAATTTAAATAAAAAAAGACAAAAACAAAGGGAAAGGTGGGTCAACAACTCAAGACTCAAAGAGAGTCAAGAGTCAAGACTCAGGAAGACTCAAGAGTAAAGAGACTAGAGTCAAGAAGACTACAATAGTAAAAGACTAAAAGTCCCAACAAGTCAAGAGTCAAGAGTCATGGCTCAACAGTGTCAACTCCTTTGCCTATATATATGTACTGAGCAATCCTCCTTTCGTTTCCTGTTCAAACGCAAAAAAAAAATTCAAAAAAAATAAGCGTTTACGTTCAAATATATAATCCTATTGGTTTACAAATAGGTACTTTTTTTGAGGCGGCCTAACTGTCACGAATTATCCTATTTTTCACTCTGTGTCAGTTGTTAATAGTCTCAAAAATATTTTATCAGGTGCAAATTTGGAAAATCTTCACGATCGATTTGCCCCCGGTATACTTTAAAAAACGCTTAAAAATAGAACTTTTTGCGTTTACGTTTAAAGTTTATAGCATAGAGGCAAAACGTGAGCTTAGGTATAGACTATAGTGTATCAGTATAATGTTTACATAAAAAATAGGAATATTGCTCAAGAGTCATGACTCAGAAGTATGACTCGGTTGCGTCGCCACTTGTCACTGTTGTCACTGTTGTCAGTTGTCAGTTGTCGCCCGTCCACCGCAACCGAACTTCGACTGTCAGACTTCGTAGAGCATGACAACAAAACACCGCTGACGTCGGTGGGGAACTGAAAGCTCAGAAATTTGGGGCGGGAAATAAGTGGAATTTTTATTTCTATTTCAGTCCCAGTTTCGAGCAAACAATAGCAAATGGGCATCACTCCTCTAATAGGGATAATATTATTTTTTTCAAAAATGGCAAGTATGTATGATACAATGTATGAACATATGGTATGGCTCTCATAGTCGCTGTAGTGGTTCAGGAAAGATTGATGGGAAGAAGTGGTCAGTAAATTCCCGTTTGAAGCTTGGGCCAAGTGAGTCGACAATGGAAGATATGTGCTGAGTCAATTCGGGCCGGTGTTGACAAAATACTGTTACTATCGAATGTTCCATATATTCGCTTGCTGACCTACTAAGTAGAGTACCCACCTCTGTGGTACTAATTAAACTGCACATGGGCAATAATTTTATTTCGGTCAACATTTATTGCATCATTGGAGTTTATTATCTTCTCTACTGAGCAAAGAGTAAATAGACAACATTGTGGTTTTTATATTTTCCCTCATTTTGTAATTCTCTATAGCAAACTTCAACGTTTCTCTCTTCCACTGCTGGTATCACTTCGTGATTCTTGTATTGGGCCTTTTATGTTCATGTACAGTGTCTCAAATGGGCATAAAAAGCTTCATAGTTCCTTATTTGGAATAACTAAAGTTCTGAGGGATCTAATAGCTAAAGCTTTTAGTGATAAAAATAAATGATGTATTTATTGGGTTAGTAAGTAGGTATGGCTTTTTTTTTGATACGCTTGGTTTTTTTCTACAAAGTTTATACATTTTGTTTGTCGTAGGTCTGTGTAGTCAGTAGTGTGTAGTGTGCGTGTATTACAATTTTAAAATTGTAGGACGTAGAAACGTAGAGGCGTAAATATTTATTTAGATTTTAGACTCTCGAGTCTCACTCGGAGCTCGAGTCTCATCTCATTTTATAAAATCGTAGTTCGCTGTTCACTGTTCGTTCCCTTATAGGCTATATTTTTGTTCTAATTCTACACAGTGTATTCAGTATTTTTCTTACACATCTGACTCCCGAGTCTGAATGCAAAAGCTCAATAAGCTCAATAAGTTCCAACTTTAATGTTAACTTTTTGATTTTTAAGTTATAACTTTTATTTAGGTCAAATCAACTACAGTTATTTTGGAGACTGCACTCAATAAACTGTCCGATCGTTCAAAATTTTAGGCCTCGAAATTGATAATAGGCAATCAAAAGAGATTGTGTGTTTCAGTTATGACGATTGTCACCTGAGTGACCTGGAAAATGCACCTATTATATATGGAAGTGTACTATCGAGATATAAAAGTTACAACTTTAATGTTTATTAAAATAAAAGTTACAACTTTTAACGCATTGAGCTTTGTCTGAATGTCTGATACAGTAAGGATACTGGATACGTAGGGTCACGCCATTTTTTATTTTTGCCTTCAATTTTATAATCATTCCAATCGTGGTATATTTGCACTGTTTTGATTGGCATCTGTGCTCAGGTTGTGGCGTTGTGCTATGATCAATTTATCATTTATCTTACGTCAATGCCTCACTGGCCACTTCCTCTTTGTCAGCCTCGCAAAGAGCAATGGCTTGACAGTTGCTATTTGAATATTTATTTATTTGATACCCCGCAGAGTGTCCCAGTTTACCCACCCACAGGGCTACACGGGCCTGTGACTTGTGAGGCTGTGAGCTTGTGATCCAAGTTATGAACTTTGGAGTCTTCCTCAGAGTCCCTAGTGACGAGTCAACAAGAGGCAAGACTGAAGACTTAAGACTCAAATGGACTGGTTGTTTAAAAACCCCCCCCCCTGCTCTAAACTTTCTGTCTGTCCGACTATATTATTATAAAAATTATATTTTTTTCAATATAAAAATATATTACCAACCGAAATACAACAAGAAGTAAATACTAAATAGACTCCTCAAAAAAAATATCCACTAAACAGTAATTCAAATGAGACAAAAGAGTGGTTGATAGCAAAAATAGATAAAATCACATCTACTCTTTAGATACTCTCTAGAGTAGTGAACTAACGAGACAAAACCAGTGAAAACCGGCACCCAGCCACAGGGGCGGCAACTGAAACAGGGTCAGGTCACAGGTGTCACTCACTGCCCAGTGCCCGCGCCTCAGCCCTCAGGGCTCAGCGGTCAGCCTCTCAGGCCCTCAAATTTAAAAAGTGAACAAAACTCCACAGCGGCCATGACATCAAGACCAAGTCCTAAAGTCCCAGGAGTCCAGGAGTTCAGGACTCCACGAGTCCACGACCAACGAGTCAACGACCCACGTTTGGAATATATTGCGGCAAACGATCATTGTCATCAGGAGCACTTGAGCTGACAACAGACAACATTCAACAACCCTCTACAAACAGCCCCACCACACACCAGACCATACTCCCTCATCCCTCTGTATATATAGCTAGCCCACTATCGCTCCGTTTATCAAAACGTATTTATTTTAACTTTCAATACAGAGTTTAAGACCGAAAAAAATCAAATACATTTCAACATGCACCCCGTGCAGAGTTTGATGAACCACACACATCTGACTACCACTAATTCATTCACTGACAGACGCACCTTGCTGAAAGGTGCGCCTCGGTTGTCGCTGACATTACACTCGGCTCGCAACTCAACCAAAATGTCGCACAGAACCGATTCCACATCACCTACCGGGTTAAATGAGAGTAGCACTTCACCACCCGCATATTCTGGTGCTGGGATTGAAAGTTCTCCCGATTTGCGCGCTACCCGTACAAACGCGCCAGTACAACAGCACAGATCATCATTAACTTCCATGCGAAGACTAACAGCCACAGCTACAGCTCCCGCGCTCCAAGCACGAAGATCTGCAGACAGCGCAACTATGAATTCTAACGGACATTTGAGTAGCCCGCGAGGGTCTAGTATGTCGAGATTGCCATCGTTCACGGGTCATCAACAAAAGCACTTGCATACCTTAGCGCAATCGAATAAACTCGAAGTACCTCAAAGCCCACCGGCACGTAGGGAAGTGTATGTTAAAAAGGTAAACGCAAAAGCGCCCTTTGGCGCAGACATCATACGCATAGACGATGATTTTTTCGTTGCTAAGGTTTATGAATCCATGGACTTAGGAGGCGAAAAGACAGCAGCATACCGAATCGGGTTGTCGTTTGGAGATCGCATTGTGTCCATAAACAAACTGGCAGTCGCAGGGTTCCCGGATTTACAGAAGGTATTGGACAACACACATGCCATGACCGTAGAATATCTAGGGCAGCCTTGGTTTGTCAACTGCAAAGCTGAGATCACAAAGGATCATCAGCTGAAAGGTTTAACTCTGAATGGACGGACAGTTGTAGATTTAGAAAGGGGAAGCTATGCCGATCGTGTTGGTGTGCATAAGGGATTTGCTCTCATAAGTGTCGATGGAGAGAGCGTTCTGGGTGAATCCAATGAAAAAGTGGACCTCCTAATGAGCCAGTACAGGCATACCAAACAGACGCATCTGATGCTAATGTTCACAAGGGAGAGTGCATGGCAGACCCTTGTAAAAGGTATAGAGCTCGTGATGTTAACGAGGAACAAGCAGTCGACTGTATCAAAGTATGTGACTGACTCTTTGTACATGGACAAAAAGTTCAAAGATCCCACTTTAGTAGACAGAGTAGATCTTGGTGAAACAGCCCCAAAGGGAAGAGGGCGCTTCTTCCGTAGACTCTAGATATAGATATAAAAATTAGTTGCGATATATAAAAGCATAACACAATACTGTTCTGAACATCTGAAGTGTGCACTTTCTTCTTCTCCGCAATAATCCACAGACATCCACTGTAGATCATAGGCTACCGGACACATAATCTTGTAGATGACGGCATACAATTAAATTTGTTTTCACGACGACCGTTCCGGTTCCCCCTACTTGGAGTTATACCAATGCGATCTCCTCGCCAAAAACACTATATACAGCTCATTAAGACCTGCAACGAAACGAGTGCGTGTTGTGTTGCATTTGTCAGGCAAGTCCGGCTTGACAAAGGAAGAACAGTATTTTGCACGTGTTGAGCTGTCAGGTAGGCAAGAGTGTACGTGTTCGCTTCACAGGAAGTCGTTGATAGTTCGTCCTTCGTATTCACTATTCCACCGGTGTGCTTTGAGCTTGATGCGGGGCGAAAGAGTATACGTGCCCTCGCATATCATCCGTCGAGCGCAATATTTTGAATGGCAGATCAAAATAGTGAATCTTAAAAAACAAACTGCAAGCAATTACACACACAGGTGCTGGACTGATGAGCGGTGCATATTTTCTACCTTCGAAGTCTCAAGCGCTAAGTCGCGGTCAAAATATAATCGAGCAAAGTCAAGTGTCGCGTACATTTTGCCAAGAAACTCGCTATCACACTCAAAACACCGGCAAAGACGCTTTGTAGTAATACTACTTTATTTCTATTTCAAATATTCGTACTAACAGTATGAAAATCCTCCAAGCGGAGATATACACACTACATGGTTGTGTGGATGTTTCTTCATGCGTGGCTGTGGCCGCCAATGCACGATCTACCACTTCCTGATATATGACAGTCTGGTCATCTTATTGGCGCATAACGCGTGACGTAAACCGCATACATCCGTATGTAAATTCGATACAGATGTAATCAACTTGTGCGAAACACGTGTGATGCACTCGTCCGTTGTGCATGATATGGAGTGGATTCCAACTTGTTGAGTCAGAGAACCAGTACACAGTCAATGCCGACAGATACCAGCAGGAAGGTCTCCCTCGTCGGTAGTAACTAGAGAAATCTTTTGCCGATCTATATGCACAGCAGCATCACATGTGTACCGGCACACCTACACGTTTGCGACTATCTAGCGGCCTAGCTTGGGGAAGTTCGTGGCAGAGATGTCGTTGTCTGCATCCTCCTGACGCCATAGCGATGTGATGGTCTTCTGCTGTGTCAGGAAGTCAATGCCAGCCTTTCCGTAGAAATTGAGGTCTCCGCGGATGCTGCCCTTGTTGCCAGTGAAGGAGAACATGGGCAATGGCACGGGGATGGGTACGTTGATACCAATCTGTGCGAATAATTTACCATATGTGAGTGCAAAGCCAAAAAGATGACAACAGTATGTTATGAAACATTGAGTGAGAGCTGTTCAGTCGTCTTTCTGGCTGCTCTGTCTACTCGCCCTCTCAATGACACGCTTCTAACAATTATTTAAATTTCACGCTTCTTACAAAATTATTTCGCTTCTTACAACAATATTAGAATGACACGCTCCTACACTACCTGTCCACACTCGCTCTCCATCTGATACTTGCGTGCAGTGGCGCCGTTGTTGGTGAAGATGGCTGTGCCGTTGCCGTACATATTGGCATTCACCAGTTCAATGGCATCGTCCAGGGTGTCCACCTCCATACACACCATGACTGGGCCAAAGATCTCCTCCTTGTAGCAGCGCATGTGTGGCTTGACATTTGTGATGATGGTGGGGCCGATGAAGTTGCCCTTCTCGTAGCCGTTGACGGACACACCTGCGTGAAGGTATGCGTGTCAGTGTCTTCCTTCATATGCAACATACAATTCCCCACCATTCTAGGTGCCTTCGTGCGAGTTCAGAAGTGTCCCAAAGAATTACGTGTTTTGAAGCTGGTAACAGTGCAATAGAGAAAATTCGCCAACATCTGAAGCGGAGGCACATTGCCAGCTGCCATCCCGTGCAGTGACAACCTTTCGGCACTACAAAAACCCCCTATATATAGATATATATATGCAATCGTCACCAACAATGTCCAAGCAAGCAGTGAACAACGGTCGAGTACAACTCACCTCGGCCATCCAGAATGACTTCGGCTCCCTCGTCAATGGCGGACTGGATCAGACCTTCAATGCGCTTCTGTGCCTCAGGACTGATCACTGGGCCCACATCTGTGTTGGGCTCCTTACCAGCACTCACCTATGAGCCATTTAAAGTGACGGGTGTGAGTTGGATTGGAGGTGTACATATCATGCATAGCTTATGTGTGAGCGATAAGTACGCGTACGAGCGCATGGCTGTGTATATTGCATACAAATAAGATCATGCTTTCCACCCGCCTATGGCTCGTCATGACAACAAAACACGTGCATCTACCCACCCACCCACCTTGAGTTTCTTGGCCCTCTCCATGATCTCAGGCATCCACGCCTTCGACTCGCCCACAAACACAGCTGTAGACAGAGCCATGCAGCGCTGTCCAGCGGCGCCGAATGCCGCTCCTACCAACTGGTTGAGTGTATACTCCTTGTTCGCATCAGGCATGATCACCCCGTGGTTCTTAGCCCCCATGTTGGACTGTACACGCTTGCCGTGCTTGCAGCCGAGCTCGTAGATGTGCTTACCCACCTGTGCGAGTTAAAGTCACGTTATGGGTGTGAGGATGATAACCTTCGGAACAGTAACACAAACAAACAGCCTAAAATTGAAATTGAATGGCCGATGGGCTATACAGGCACCATTTAGAGACTCTTTACAATGAGCAAAAGCCGTACACCGGCGAAGAAACCCAACATCAAACACATACGTATACGTGTGCGCGACTTACATGATCACTGCCAACAAATGAGATGGCCTTGATGTCAGGGTTTGTGCAGATAAAGTCGACGGCGTTCTTTGTGCCGTGGATCACATTAACCACTCCTGGGGGCACACCAGCCTATAGTAGGAAAATTTCCAAGTGTCAGGATTATGCGAAATTGACCACAGCTTAAAATAATACACGGCAACAAAGATGCTTAAACCCTAAAAAGGGGGATAGATAAAGCAGCTAAGACCCACCTGACGAGCTAGCTCCACCAGCGCCATAGCAGCTCCAGGGTCTCGCTCAGAGCACTTCATGACCGACGTGTTTCCGGTGGCCATGGCCATAGGGAACATCCACAGAGGAATCATCGCAGGGAAGTTGAAGGGCGAGATACCTGCCGTGACACCCAGAGGCTGTCGGTACATGTACGTGTCCATGTCTGCGGCCACCTGGCCTAGAGTGCCACCTACAAGCTGTGTGGGCACCCCGGTGGCGTATTCTACTACCTATGAGTGCAAGTGAAGAGTTAGAAGTATGATTTGGTATGTGTGGGTTTAAAATGCGCCCGCATTGTGAACGTACAGATTAGGCTCATCGCGAAAGAAACCTATCGAACTAACGGGCCAGTGTCACATCCTGCAACCCTGTGATACATCCAAGTCCCCGTAATGGCATAAGTTAAGCCGGTTACAGCTTATTCCTCAATATGTATGTGCTATATATTTCTCTGTACGCGTGTTATATGCAGTGAAGTACTACAACACAGCAACTGAGTCTAACCGCTCGCACGAGTACACTCCAACACGTGCTACAGTGCGTCAAAAGCAAGCAACTCGTGCAGCTGAACCATCAAATACAGTACTTGCACAGGCCTACAGGACTCACAGCAGGCCCCCCCTGCACGCGACGCACATTACCTGTAAGCCTCTGAGCACATCTCCATCGGCATCGGCAAGTGTCTTGCCCTGCTCGCGTGTGATGAGCTTGGCCACATCGTGCATGTGCGTGCGGATGAGGTTGGCTAGCTCAAACAGAATGCGCTGGCGGTGCATCACGCTCGTTTTCTTCCACGTCTGAAAAGCCGTCTTGGCCGACTCAACAGCCTCCTCCATCTGTGGACATGTTTGAAAGAGCACATAGTAGATAAGATGTCGATACCAGATCGATGTACGTGATATGATATAGATTAAGCAGTGCTGTGAGTCACACGCACGTGCATGAGACACCAGAAATATGGCAACAAGACCGATCGTGAATGTAGAGGTGGGTTGCAAGTGAACGCAGACACAGTGTGTGGTGTGCATACAAGCATTGCCGTCTTAATGCGGCATGATGATAGGTGGCATGCGCCTACATCGGTCACTATCAGAGAATTGATAGAGCGAAGTGCTGTGGAAATATGACGCACATGAAGCTGTGCACCAAGCCCACAGAACAACATGAGCGAGCAAAGCAGGCACAATACTCCGAAACACAAGTGGACGTATTACACTTATATATATATATATATGCGCATTCCAGGCTGTGTGAAATATGTAAGCTCATATCCACTGACAATGCAAGATATCACCCATAGAACAGCCAAGAACTACGAAACCTACTTCGTGCACCGTACATATACATTTCGATACATAAAACACAGGCAGACATCAATACACTGCACCTATCACAGAATCTCACTACCCACCTCTTCCTGTGTGGAGCATGGCACTCTGGCCACAACCTCGTTGGTAGCGGGGTTGCGCACGTCAATCCATTCGGTGGCCTTGGACTCTCTCCACTCACCGTTGATGAAGTTCTTGTATTTGTATGGCTCAGCTGTGTTCTCTGTCTCTGCCACAGCGTCGTTGAATATGCTGTACGTGCGCTTGGAGCCATTGGCGTACCGGGCGATCTGTATGGCGTGGTAGAGGACGCGCACGGATTTCAATAACACGGTATTGTGGTAACATTGAGGTTGTATAAGAAAGTACGCGATCATACTAAGTTGATGGCTTCTCTCTATTATCCTATGGATTGTACGGACGTTGTACTGTGTGTTTGTGATCCTTGAGGCATTCACGAACGCAGTTGCAGGTGTAGTAGATTCATTGTCCATATCTGAAGGTCGGCTGTCTGGCACTTTTACAAACGGGAGAGGTGCATACGCGTGTGGTACAGATTCACACGTCCTTCGATACAGTGTCGAGTAAATCAATGTAGGAACATATACGATATTCTGAAGTACGGACAACTATTGAGATCGGCTACTTCACGCGCATACCACTGTGTAAATAAATATTAATATAGTAAAGACACATAAGTACGCGTGCTATATCACTTGCATTTTTGGTTACGTACGATAACAACCATATACACGAACAGATCTGAACGTACGGATATACATGATATATATACATTAGAAATCCTATTTAAATACAATATATCTATGCGTTCATGCGTCTACCTACAAGAAATTTGCGTACATACATAGCATGTATACTCCTGAAATCTTGAAGTGAGTGCAAGATTTGTCAGTAGATATATATATTGGAGTCTAAATGCATGATATATATATAGGGTATTTGTACAAATCAATATTTACGTACTCAGTTTCGTACATAATCAGGCTTTACACTTCGAAGAGAGAGTAAACATGGACAGCCTACAAGTATAACATTACTTTTTCCATATACATACAAATTAAAAATTGTCACGTGTACTACACTCATACAATACATACATACGTATATGTCTATACAGTTGAAACGTTGAAATCAGTCACATTACATCTGGTCGTCGAGTCAGTGAGGTTTTTCACAAAACTCCTTTGGAGCACGTTCCAGAAATATCTCCGATGTGAAATGAATAGCAATCATGCACTGACACCTCACTTAAGTGGCGTGTGTTCAGATTAAACGCATAGCTACGAACAGTATCCCTGCCTTTTGGGAAGGAGATGCGCTGCATCCTAGATATACAAAGGCAAATCGTTTCATAACCAAATACAACCCTTCGACAGCTCACTTTGTGCACTCAAGCAAAGACGCGTGAAAAAGGACAAGCCATGAAATCTCACTTCTATAAAAGTGTCGGAAAGAAGATAAGCGAACAGAGCTGTAGTTGGCCTCATTCAGAGATTGTAAGTATGCTAATATATGCGTCCAACATCGATATGCAGATAGAAGGGATAATCATAGGCATGGACATACCAGTACGCACTGGGCTACCTGCGGCCGAGATCGGAACGTGTGTCGAAGCATTATGTCACAGTGAACAAGTAGTCGTTCAATCACTGTGTGGGCCTGACTTGAAGTATACGGAAATTTAAATACAAGTTATGCCGCTACTCAAAACTCAAACACGTATTTATCATCAGACTATCAGACTGTATCAGCATCAATATCACACCGCCCCGTTTCAAAGACAATGTCAGCGCAACGATGTAAATATTGAAGGGCTTTCATAAAAAGCTTCTTGACAGCGAGTGACATTATTTGTCGTAAAATATTTTATTCTTTTTTTTGAGCGTTTCAAATTGATCCTTCGATACATCTATTGGAAGGTATTAAAATATACGAGATAACAACAAAAAGTATTTAATTACATTATTTGCGAACAATCAATTGGCATCAAACGTAAAATTTATTTGGCTTGTTTCAAACGTATGCTTGCGAATGAAATGAGAACTTTTGTGTTTTCAATTTCAGGTCTCTTGTTTTTGTGTGCCAGTCATTGATGCCAATTTTGATGTTTGTTTTTATAAAAACAAAAACAAAATATATAACTTGTGCAACATTACTCCCCGGCCCGCGGCCCCGCCGCAGTCCGGCTTGAGCTGTATTTTTTTGAATATTTATATTTCTTCGACAATATGTAGTCCGAGTTCTGACTCTGTGGCATGTGAGCCGTGAGGTTGTGGGCCTATGCCCTTGCTGCCCTATTGGCTGTGGGGCGTGGGCTGTGGCCCGCCCGGCTAAGCCCACAACGTTTGACCTTTCGTATCTAAAAGTTTGACTTATAACGTTTAACGCGAAATACTTATGCATTGAAACGTTTACTAGTACATATGTATAACACGGCAATAGATGCATACGTTTAACTTTTAACGATTAACACATCCTTTATTTGCGTTCCAACGTATAAAGTAAACATAGACTGTGGGCCTGTGCCGACGCCCTGTTCCGCAGGGCTCATAACGTAGCCCATTTACAGCGTAGGCGTACTACTTTTGACGTTTACGCATTGAATTTAAACGTAAATACGTATTATACTTTCGTCTTTGATCACCACAAAATTGTTTTTTCAAAACCTGATTATTTTGGAATCTGAATTATTTACATCAATGAGCGGCTGCGAATGAGACTTTCCAATTCCTAAATATATATTTTGTTTTGTGAATTAGGTATAAACTACAAAGTGATCCTAATTGTAATTTATGATGAAAGTGTACTAATACCAAATGATCATTGTGTATGCATCACAAAAGACAAAGAGCTGACATCTTTGCGGGCAATGAAAGTGTCATGTGATCCTTATATCTGATTAGAAATGTACGACTACACTCACAATTAATTAAACCGATATCTGTACATATACATATACCTGCCAGATGTACTTATGTATGTATGCATACACCTCTATATGTATGCAATTTATCAATATCGGAACCAATATACAATCAAGCAATATGTATATGTTACCTCCGGACATACGTAGGTGTAAATAAAAATGTACATAGATATATAAACATGCATTTTTATATATGTATGAAGATGTGTTTGGAAGTGCATGAGTTGAATGTATATATAGGGTTATGTACATACAATTATATTATGTGCGCATAAAAACACATATACACATGGACAAATGTAATTATATATAAATATAA